TGTACAATACTCCCCAATAGGAAGAAAACCCGCTGGGTTGTTCATCCTGTCACTTGTAGTACATCTGATGAAATACTATTAAGCTAGACGATAATGATTGTGTCTGGGGGAGTCCAAGGGATCGCGGGTTCGATCCCAATGTACAGCTCCAATATTTTCTCAAGTTCCCTCTTATGTTGGGCGACGACGCCAGCCAGCATCTTGAAGGCTTGTTAACATGTCTGACTATGGTACAAAAAAAACTAGGAAAACGTGACTGGTTAATAGCTACACAGGGCCAGTAAGCTCCGCTGGTTGATTGGTGGTCAGGTACACAAATTGTGGTCTAATTATTTAATCACCCAATTGAGCAGCCAACCTGGAAGCATGTGAACCTGTAAGTCCGGCTGCCTCGGCAACCAGTCCACCGTAAGTTAGATAGTCAAGCAACAAACTTGTAAACAACATACCGAACCAAACAGCTATGCAAAGCAATCTTGCAAATCAACAAATATGAAGAGAGAGAGAGGCACCGCACTATTGGGGAGAGACTGGAGGGTGGTGAAGGAGCCGTGGCAGCTACCCACTACGCCACGACAGCGGCGGCAGCTTCATCTGGTATGCGCGGAGGGCCGCCGGCGCCCTGCGCGCTCTCCACACCCATACCATAATTAATCTTCTCCGCTCAGCTCTCAACCCCAAGAACACGCGGAGGCTGACTGACTGACCAACCGACACACGCTGCTCACTCTAGACACGATAAAGATGGTTCAGGTCTAGAATGTGGTGTGTTTACGCTCTCTCTCTCTCTCTCTCTCTCTCTCTCTCTCTCTCACACAAGTCAGCGGAGACAGGTTAAGTTATCGTACTTGCAAATGTCAGTCGAAGAGAAGACGCGGGACCCATCAGCCGGCCGACACACCATCAACATTCCCTGGCCAGGTTACTCAAGACGACCCATCCTTGTCTTATGACCGGTACTCATCAAACATTTACGAAACCTGTACATCTTTTCAATAATTCTGGCGGCTAGCTTTGTTTACATTTATCGAACAGCTTGTATCCTCCGAAGGACTACGAGGTTGTTTACAACAATAATAACCTTGGGTTGTGAAGTTTCCAAGCTCGTAAACTGTTTAATAAGTGTAAACACAGCCGCTATAATTAAGGGAAGATGTACAGGTTTCGTCAGTGGATGTGCAAATGATTGATCAATCCTGGCGCAGGTTTTTTTCACAAGGTAGGCGTGAAGCACTTCACATGAAGCACTTTACCTTAAGTGTAAAACTCACTTGAGGTGAGTTTTAATCACTGTCAATCTTTGATGTTGTAGATTTTGCTGTTATTTTTGTGTTAATTGCCGTTAGTTTGATGTAGCAACATTAGCAATAGTTGCAATATATGTTGTTGATGTTTCTGGTGATACTGCTGCCCCGACATCAACCACAATAGCCATCAGCAGTATTGCTAGAAACTGCTGCTGAAGTTGCTACTACTGCTGCTGCTGCTGCTGCTGCTGAAGTTGCTACTACTGCTGCTGCTGCTGCTGCTGCTGCTGTTGCTCCTACTGCTGCTGCTGCTGAAGTTGCTACTACTGCTGCTGCTGCTGCTGCTGCTGCTGTTGCTGCTGCTGCTGCTGAAGTTGCTACTACTGCTGCTGCTGCTGCTGAAGTTGCTACTACTGCTGCTGCTGCTGAAGTTGCTACTACTGCTGCTGCTGGTGCTGCTGCTGCTGCTGTTGCTCCTACTGCTGCTGCTGCTGAAGTTGCTACTACTGCTACTGCTGCTGCTGCCGCTGCTGCTGAAGTTGCTACTACTGCTGCTGCTGGTGCTGCTGAAGTTGCTACTACTGCTGCTGCTGCTGCTGCTGTTGCTCCTACTGCTGCTGCTGCTGAAGTTGCTACTACTGCTGCTGCTGGTGCTGCTGAAGTTGCTACTACTACTGCTGCTGGTGCTGCTGAAGTTGCTACTACTACTGCTGCTGGTGCTGCTGAAGTTGCTACTACTACTGCTGCTGCTGCTGCTGAAGTTGCTACTACTGCTGCTGCTGGTGCTGCTGAAGTTGCTACTACTGCTGCTGCTGGTGCTGCTGAAGTTGCTACTACTGCTGCTGCTGGTGCTGCTGAAGTTGCTACTACTGCTGCTGCTGGTGCTGCTGAAGTTGCTACTACTGCTGCTGCTGGTGCTGCTGAAGTTGCTACTACTGCTGCTGCTGGTGCTGCTGAAGTTGCTACTACTGCTGCTGCTGGTGCTGCTGAAGTTGCTACTACTGCTGCTGCTGGTGCTGCTGAAGTTGCTACTACTGCTGCTGCTGGTGCTGCTGAAGTTGCTACTACTGCTGCTGCTGGTGCTGCTGAAGTTGCTACTACTGCTGCTGCTGCTGCTGCCGTATCAACCGCTCCTGCCACTACTGCTATCATTGTGTAATACTACTATCCCTCCTGATACTTCTGCTGCAAGCAGTGCTGTGATTACTAGTATTGGAGATGCTGCATCTGCTGCCATTACTTGCTTCTCTGTG